GATGTGCAGTTGCTCCATCTGGATGGATCAGTCATCTTGTAATAGGGCTGTAACGTTTGCAGTATTTGCCAAATGTTTTTCGAGATGCCTAACATAATTGCTTCATATGAGAGTTCTGTACCTAGACCTCGGGCAAAGCATCTCAACTACAGCCCTTATTTTACTAAGGCTGTGGTAAGTGCTCCCACAGTTCCTCTCTGGAAATGGTGACCTTTTACCATGATTTGCTGCTTTGTTAAATTGAGAGGGTGAGAATTTGGTTAATGCTGGAGTTCCTCAAGTGACCGGAGCCTGTGCATAGGGAGTTACCATATCTGTATGGCATTCCAGTCACGGCTCCAATTGCAGAGGAGTTATAGTCTGCCCATGCAGCGTCACTGATGCAGTAGCAGCTGCTGTAGTTCATGGGTGGAAGAGCAGAAAAAGAGCGTGCATTCTGCACACGTGGTTGAAGTTTGGTCAGAAACTGCTCTTGGCTTGGAGAGGCATGGTTCAGGATGAAGGCAAACAGGATGGCAATGAAGCTGTTTCAAGTAATGTCTGATACTTCAGCTTGAATCGGTCACTTTCTTGGATCCAGGCTTCAGTTTGTGCTGCTGATCCCTCAACTGCTTACTCTTTTCTCTGCAGCCTATACAGATGACCTGGGTGCTGTGGGCGGAGCTTGCCTGGAAGATGAAGCCAGCGCGCTTAGATTGGATGAAGACGGTGAACATCCCCCCATGATCCTTCGGACGGACTGAACTTTGACCTGTGAACTCACTCCTGAAGCAGAGAACACTGGCTTGATGTTTCTTGAGGAATCTCGTGTTATGCTGCTATGAACTTTGACATGAGTTGGGAGAGAGGATGACAGACTCTTTACCTTTTAAAAGTCGTAGCTGTAGTTCTAAACCATTGGAAAAATATATGATTTTCAATTCAGTGGCTTTTAATCTTGCTTATCTATTTTAGCTGTGTTTTTTTGTTGCCAAAACCTGCTATTTGTTCAGCCCTCAGAGCCTGCTAGCTTTGCATGCATTCATGTGCCAAGCAAGCATAGGAGAGGGAGAGAGAGAGAAAGAGAGAAGCCACTTTATAACAGACTCAAGTTTGTATTTTTTTTATATATGTATATAATATTTAGCTTATATAAGGAAGGAGCAGAGAAGTGGTTCTGGAAGCTGAGACTATTTCTGCACTGACAAAGGTCCAAATGGTTTCCTGTGCATGGGCTTGCAGGCATACCTAGTGACTGACATGCAACCTTTCAAATGCAATGGCCTGTTTTGGGGGTTTTCCCTCCCCTTTCCTGGACCATTTTGTTAATTAAAATTCCTTCTGAATGTTGTGTATTCGTGGGAGTGTTCTGTTTGCTGGGATGGAAAACTGGAAGTCTTTCCTTGCACAAGGGTATAGAATACAGAAAGTGCCTGTGCAAGGAAGAAAAAAAGTCACTGCAGGAGGAAGGCTAGAATGAAGGAGGAATTGCTAGAGATTTTCTTGTCTGTATACCTTCAGTACTTAAGTGTCTGTAGTTCATAGTAGCTGGTACGCTTGTCAGTATTTTTAAAGATGATGTGGCATGCGCTTTCTCTCCTGTAGGTTGTTTTATGTCCATGTCGGAGTAGCAATAATCTCTTTTTATATATTACTTTAATGTTATCCAAAGCAAGGACAGTATCCTTTCTGTCAGTCTGGACTGAAGTCCCTTCAGAGTATGTCAGCCCTGCTCTTTAAGCAGCCTTAGGGTTTTTGACTGGAAGGCATAAGTCTCCTTTCACTTCTAGCTTCTCTCGAGCCTGGAGCTGAGTGTAGTGCTCTAATAGTGAAGATTCAGGACTTTTTTTCTCCAAATGTTGATGTAACTATAAATGATTTTGGAAGCTTAGTTTTCTTCTGGATTCTCTTCTGTCGGATAACCATACTCACTTTTTTTTTACTTCATCTTTCATCGGAGTACCTTTTATGATGTTCTCCAATGACTGGTTATCTTTGTGGCAGCTTTGGAATGAATCCTTAACTGCCCTGACCCTGGCTAGGCCTGCTCAAGGCTGAGCAGTGCTGCAGTCTATTTTTAGGGTTGTAATGTGCCTTCTCTTAAGTTTTGGGTAACAGTGAGTAAACGATTCGCAAAGCACTTGGGTGAGCGTTGTTTTCCTTTGTCAAAATGAGCCCATTTTGCCTTTTGTGCAGCAATGTGGGTTGCTTCCTTTTCCCTCTAGTGACTCTTTACAAAGAGATGAAAATAAAAGCAGAAAAGGAGATTACAGATTTTGAAAGGAAGACAGAACCTGGACTTAACTGAGTACTCTGACTATGTGTAAACTTCCTATCACAACAAGACAGTGATGTGCTTTCAGAATTTGGTACTGTTACGTGTCTTCTGTCAAGAAATAGAAGATGGCGGCACTGTGTCCCCAAAGCCCGTGGTGGGCTGCTGGTCCTCCCCCTCTGAAAAAGCAGAAGGGGTTGGGAGCCTATGCCAAAGAGAGCTGTTGGTTGTCAGTCAGCCGCTGTTAGCGTACAGGGAAGATGTTCTTACATGCACGCACATGGGAGGGAAGAGATCAGGCTTGTTTAGTCACTGAAGACCCTTGACTGTCTTGGCTGTCTTGACTTGTGGCATCTTCTTCAGAACCCAGTACGTTCAGAGTAAACCACTGAACTATGCTGAAATATCATTTAATCTCTCAACTTCAAGCTCTGGCTGACAACTGCAGAGTAAAATGTAAGTCTTGAAAAAAATACAAGCTCCCTGAGCTTTGCTGGCAAACTGAACCACCTGGGAGCTGTCAGATGTCTGCCCGTTCCAGACTAAAGCTGGTAACGTTCCTGGTAACGTACTTGGAGGCTTGGCGTAAACTCAGCAGAGTTAGCAGCAAACCCTCATAAGCAACGCGGGTCTGCTGAACATCCAAGTTTTGGAACTCTTCAGTTATAACGAAGGCCGTGATAGCTAGCAAGATACTGACTGCCCTGTAATGAACTTACTAACTTTTACTGCTTAAAAACTGAGAGCATTTATCATGCTAATTCTAACCCCATTTTAACTCTTGCGCCTGCTTATCTTGCAAATGTGTTTTGGAGATTCCAATGTCTTCCATATGCTGTAGTCCCCTTCTGCTGTTGCAGGTAGTGCCTGATGAATCACTGCGCCCTGCTTGGTTCACTCTAGCTGGAGACTGGAAGCCGATAAGAGTGTCTAGCTTATCTGTTGTAACTGAGAAGAGAATCTTAGCAAAAGTAGCAATGTTCTGGGCTTATAACCAGTAATTACCTAATAGGGCAGAGCAGGTGGTTTTCCGGTCCCCGCTGACAGGGTAAAGTGGTGACGGCAAACTGTGTTGTCCAAGTTTCACTGCATGAGGATATGAACTTTCTCAGATAAAATATGGCTAATAACCCTGCCCCTTATGGCCTTAGGCTCACGTTAGGCCCTCAATATTTGCCCTGTTGCAGTGTGCTACCAAAGTCGGAAGCCTTTAAGGATGAGGTTTCATCCCAGTGACACAAAGGCTTGCTGCCCCCCTTCTTTAAACATAGCAGAGGTGTCGTTTGCAGCAGCATCCTCATCTGAGTTTGGAGTAATGGCCGAATTGTTAGGCTCTGTGGGTCAAATGGTGTCTAAATGAATTTTTATTCTGATGGTCTAACAGCCTTGCCTTCCCCAGGATAAGCCAAGGAGGCTGCAGCCTTGTGCTGTGGCCCTAGGCTTTGAGTCATACGATATGGGAACAGCTCTACAGCCCCTCTCATTTTAGACTGACCTTCCTCAGAAGGACAGTGTTCTTCCTCGGAAAGCGTCTCTCTCTCTCTTTCTCTCTCCCTGGATACTGACCGCACTTCTCAGTAGCGTTTCCATCCAGTAGAGCCTGGGGGGCAGACCCGGACAATGGAAACAACCAAAGCTGGGGAGGGGGGAACTTTATAAACTTGGATTTCTGAACTCAGGTTGTAGTTTCTAGTGGGATCTGTTCCCTGTGCGTATCGCAGGGAAGGCGTGTTCCTCTTGAAGTGTAAATAGGTAGCAAGTGTACATACTGTGTCTCCACATCAGTCAGTTTAACCTACTTCATCTTTCAAGTTCGGAAGTAGAAAGCTTCTGTGCACTCTGGAGTCTTCTTGTGCCACTATTTCCAAAACACAGTTATAGATACAAATCTAACAGTTAAATGACTGGCCTGGCGGAGGAGGAGGAAGTTAAAAGCGTGAAGAGGTTAGTAAAAGCTGTTTCCTCTGAGGCCCTGCTCAGCAAGACGCTTGTGTGAGTGCTCCCTCTGAAGCCAGGCGTGTGCATGTACCTAGGTGATCCAGGTCCTACGTGCGTGAGTTTCTTAGGCTTGTGCTTCTACGGAAGGGAGGGGGGAAAGCTTGTGAAATCTGCCTTGATGCAAATAAATACTGGAGAAGGATCTAAATGCAGTGACAAGTGTCTGCAGTTTGCAAAGGAAACTTGTGACTGACCTCTGCCTGATAGGGAAAGGGAAGAATGAACTACCAGCTCTGCAAATAGGTTACCCGGAGCCCTGAGAAGCTCATTGGTAAAACACTTCTGCTGGATCTCATGCTGTGCTTTCTTGGCTCTAATCGAGGTATTAGCACCAAAGCAACATTGTAGTAGGGACTGTAGAATTTCTTTCCTCATAGGTCGCCTGAGCTATTCACGATGCCGCTTGTATGCACAGACAGTCTGCTGCTCTTTGGACAAAGACTCCTGTTGCTCTGCAAAGCACTGATGGGGATTAGTCACTGCAGAGATTTGGGAAGTTTTATTCTTTGCTCCAGCTGTCCTGGCTAACAATCGCCTTGATTTAACCTGTTAACATCTGAGAGCAATGCAGAGTGTCATCGCTGTGTGCACAGAGCAGGCCCTTGTTTTTCTGGAGTCTGTGCCTCACCATGAAAGGCTTGCAGCGAAGAAAGCGTGGCTCTTTGAGTGTAAATAAATCCTTCCAGATTCCAGTTGCGCAACCAAAGGAATTCAGCAAATTCCCATTTTTCCTAACTGTAACATGCCTCTGTTTTAACACACTTTAAATTGGCAAATCCTGTCTTACACTGCCTTGACAATAACGGACAAGGCATTTTTATTCTGGCTTGCAAATAGTTGTTGTGCTTGCTACCAATGTCTCAGCTCTGTGACCATGCGGCTGCAGTAATCTCTACGCTGACTTTCCCTGTGCCGCCTTTGCATGCGTCCGATTCATCTCGAAGAGCAGCGAGTTGTTTCCAAATCTGTAGCTCTGGGGTTTGGTGGGACATCAGCTCAGCCCTTTGCTTGGATCTATTTGCTTTCACATTTGCTTCCTCCTCTGGAAGCAACTGCACCCTGCAGTGCTCCGTTACGCTGTTCAGTATCTGTGTTGTTAGGTGGAGGGAAAAAAACCCCCAACATTCCGCATCACCAAGAGTCTGGCTCTCACTGCTAGCCCATTGCTGTTTGTAATTTTATAATTGCATAAGAAATTAAACCTGTGTTGTGATAAGTATTTTGCGTCTTCCTCCTTTTGTTTGCTGCTTGAAGACGGGGCCAGATAGCGTAAGGGTGACACTACGTGTGTCTTGTACTCTCTGTGGCCCAAACTAAAATGCTAGTAGTAATAAACCTTAGTCGTAGCTATGCGACGTAGCAGCTCTTGAAAGACACTGTCAGCATGGGTTTTGCAGAGACCAGGAGAGGACCACGTGAGTTTCTTCTGGCACGCTTTCTCTAAAAGTATAATTTTTCTCCTTGTTCTTCCTTAGATCTTTTCTGGGGGTACTCACACTGGTGCATCTTTCTGCTTGTTCCTCAGGTGAGTTTAGATATCTAAACTTTCTTTATTCTTTTATGGGTTTCATCTGCAGTAGTGTTTTTCAAACATGCACCCCATGTAGCTTTGTTCTCTTTATAAACTCTTTGCTTCTCGCCTTCAAGCCCATGGAGTGAGCTGGTGTGGATGGGTGACGAGGCGCCTCCTGTTTTTGCCCCTTCTTTTTATCTTGTATGAATGCTTTCCTCTGCAAAGCCATCATGAATGTTCTGGTGAGGGTGGGAGAAGTCTTTCTGCTGCTACTAACGGTGGAAGAGCATGCAATGATGGGACCCTCCTTGTTTCTCTTCCTGACTTCGTAGAGAGACCTTGTAAAGGTGCAGGCGTCTCCTCTCGTGGATCTAGCTCTGGTGGGGAATGCTGCCCGGCTGGCGCTGCTGGTGTGTGTTCGTGCGCTTCAGGCAGAATTGGCGATGTTAGCTCAGATGAGCGATTCTAAACTGTTCATTCAGCTGCTGGTGACGTTTTTCCTCCTCCTCTTGCCTGGAGCGAACTAAGGATCTGAGACAGACTATTTGCTGGCAGATTTAGTATG